TGGTAAACAGGGAGAAGGTTAGAGGTTAGAAATCTATATATTTGGTAAACAGGGAGGAGGTTAGAGGTTAGAAATCTATATATTTGGTAAGCAAGGAGGAGGTAAGAGGTTATAAATCTATATAGTTGGTAAGCAGGAAGGAGGTTAGAGGTTAGAAATCTATATATTTGGTAAGCAGGGAGGAGGTTAGAGGTTAGAAATCTATATATTTGGTAAACAGGGAGGAGATTAGAGGTTAGAAATCTATATATTTTGTAAGCAGGGAGGAGGTTAGAGGTTAGAAATCTATATATTTGGTAAACAGGGAGGAAATTAGAGGTTAGAAATCTATATATTTGGTAAGCAGGGAGAAGGTTAGAGCCTATAGGTTAGAAATCTATATTTGGTAACTATGGAGGAGGCGCTCGTGAAAGAAAAAACCTACAAACTTAAAACATAATTTTGTTAAAAAACGTCCTTTGACGATAAGAAACTTTTGAGTAAATTAGCATTTAAAATGTGACCACTGACCATACCCTAGCTACTGTAGTCAAATAGACAGATGATTATATGACTGTACATCGGGTTTGTATATTTACATGTGCAGTTGTACATACAAACTTATTCACCACTGATTCTAGAATATCTTTTTCTTTACATTCATCTATTTTTTGAAAAACCTTCCCATAAAGTCGTAAAAGAAATATTATTGATTAAGCATTAACGTATATATATCTACAACCAAATTATGTAAACCTTTGATATTTCAAACTTTGATTGTTTGATATAACAGAAGTCATAGTTTAAAATATCTAAGGTATACAACATTGGGTTGTTAAGATATAGGGATTTAAAAATCAGAGTTTGTGGCAAAGACTCAATTCCTTTAAGTCATTAATAAATTTTCGGACTGCTAAAATGTGTAAATAATCAAGTGTATAGATCAACCTTATTTTTTGAACAAAAAACATGCAATGAATCACTCAAAAATATATGAACTGAGCTGGGAACTCTTGTATTGTGGATAAAGAGATCAATGATTAATCTTGATCTTTTGCTAATCTGCAGATTAATTAAATTTGTATTCAATATCCCGCATTGTAATCGTATAACAGGGGTTGAAGAGAGTTTTGATCAGGGGAGAAATGACAAAAAAAAAGGTATGGAAGAATATAGTTTTTTACTGATCCTTAGATCAAAAGTGCCCACAGGTGTGGATATTGAGATCAAGTGATCAGGATTTTGAGTTTCAAACACAAAAGTTCCCAGCTCTGTTTAAATTCAGTCTTAAAGGAAAAGTTTTTTTTAAATTAGATGTTATTCATTTAATGTAGTCTAAAACCAGAATAATTGAAAACTGCTAGATCAAATAACAAAAGGTACAAAGATTAGAAAATTTGTGTTTGAGACGAGTGTTCAGTTCCTTTCCAATCTTTAGTTGTAGAATTCTTTAGAAGGTAAAACGTCATCAAATCTCAAATGATGTCATCAAAAGTTTTAGATTTTGAACAAATATGAAGAAAAGTTTATTTATTTGACGGATTTATTGAACATTTTCTTGTAGATTTCTGACACAAATAGGATAAAATAGAGTTTAATACAATTGAACTCTCTAACAAACAAGTCTTTTTACATACACTAGCAGAGTGTCGCTATTTTATAGGTATGTTAAGATTTATTTATGGTTGTTTTTTAAACTAATTTTAACAAATTCGAAAAATGCAGAGGAGTACAGAAAACAACATGAAGATTGTTGAGAGCAAGAAACCACAGAAACTGCAAGGCTGAAGGATACTGGAAACCATACCAACAGAAGACTGATGGTAACTGGAAACCATACAAACAGAAGACTGATGGGAACTGGAAACAATACAAACAAAAGACTGATGGGAACTGGAAACATACAAACAGAAGACTGATGGGAACTGGAAACCATACAAACTGAAGACTGATGGGCTCTGGAAACCATGCAAACTGAAGACTGATGGGCACTGGAAACCATACAAACAGAAGACTGATGGGCACTGGAAACCATACAAACAGAAGACTGATGGGCACTGGAAACCATACACTCCATACTTATGCCGTTTACCCGCACTTGAACGATTTTACCGGGAAACTAAATTTTCGCTGTAAAAGACGGGGACAGCTAATTTTTTCTTAATTAGATATAAATTGATCCGATGTTTCAATAAAAACACATCCCTTCTCTACTCTCCAAAAATCCCAAAAGTCAGCTCTAACAGTTCCCAGTTCTATTTGATTAAGTCGAAGAACACATTTTTCTATTTTAACTGCACTAACGAAAAGTTACATTACCTGATTATAATTTTATTTCTCTTGTCGCTTGCGCAACTATCTAAGAATGCCGCGCACCACTCACATTTTTCGAAATCCGTTAAAAACGTTTTCTAAAAAATTAATTAAAAAATATTATAAAATATAAACTTAATGCAAATGTGGCGAAAGATAATCGATGAATATAGGTTGTAATATCTGAATGATTTGTTTGAAATTAAATTGATTTTTTTACGGTCTAAGTCGTATGTTGCAATTTTCTCAATTTGTATGGACGCTAAGTTATTCGGTATGAGACGTCATTAACAATTTTCTTCTTATAGACGCAACAGATAGAAGTAAGATTAGTAGCGATCAAAAGCGCTTTTTTATCGCATTAAGCCTATACCCCCTTTCATTTTTCGTGAACACTCCCCTTAAGTGGAAGAAGGATATGGTTCTGATTGTGTGAATGAAGGAGATGGTTCTGATTGTGTGGATGAAGAAGATGATTCTGATTGTGTGAATGAAGGAATTATGGTACTGATTGTGTGGATGAAGAAGATGGTTCTGCGTGTGAATGAAGGAGATGGTTCTGGTCATGTATATGAATGAGATGGTTCTGATTGAGTGGATGAAGAAGATGATTCTGATTGTGTGAATGAAGGAGATGGTTCTGATTGTGTGGATGAAGAAGATGGTTCTTATAGTGTGGATGGTCTAGAGTGTGTGGGTTTGGGTGTGAGGGAAGGTGGTGTTGTGTGTAGGGGGGAGGGGGGATTGTCCGTTGTCTACGTGGGGAAGGAAGTCGACATAGTCATGTAATAAATCAGTTTTTCATAAATATGAAAACAGCTAATAACAGTCATAATATATATTATATATATGTGCCATATTACAACGTACATAAATGATAGGGTTTTTATCATTAATCAAATTTGATTAATATACAATAATACAGGCCGGTGTATGCATTATGCAATCAATATACATAGTACATTCGTTATAGGTGGTCAGAGTCTAAAACTAAAGAACGAAAAGTTTTGACTTAAATTTTAGGTTCATGGTTAAATGCCACTTCTGACTTAATTTAAACCTAAACTTTAACCGTGAGGTTAAATATTTAAGCCTGTGGTTAAATATTTAACTCGCCGAAATCGACGAGTTAAAATTTAAACACAGGGTTAAAATCTTGAAATCCCGCAATCGATCCTATTTGTCTATCATCATTCAGCGGTAAGTGGCATTCAACTAATTACGATATATTTAAAAGTAAAAACCTTGATTTAATAAAATTTCACGTTTTAGATTAATTAATGTTTTCACGTAAACCCAAAATACGGTTGTAACTATGTTTGGTTTTCCGTCACGTAAATAATTTAAAAATTTAAAATTAAAAAAACAGCTGATTACCGAATACCGATACTTACTTAATAATTTCCGTAAATCCTTTTCTCTGATTGGCTCAGATTTTTCCCGGGAAATTCAAATTTAAAATTAAGAAAGTTTAATATTTAAGTAGCAATTCATTATTTTACAGAACTTTTAACCTCGAACTTGAAATTCGCGCATTCTTTAGTTTTAGACTCAGGGATCAGAATAAATGAATAACGAGAAGTAGTTGAACTAGGTGTGAGCAGTTAAAGGGACTGGATGCGTAATTTCAAGTTACTCTCCAAGCAATGGCAATCCCCGATTTACAACGGTTCCCTTGAAACTTTAAAGAACTGTAGAGGAAAAATGAAAAAAAAGAATTTAAGCACTTTTTGAGTCAATTTAACGACGGTATCTTCCACATTTTTGATCATATTTCAGGGACTGTAAAGGAAAAATTAAAGGGGGTATAGGATGAAACCAAAGAAGTTGATCGAGACCTAGCTTTATCTGGTGTTCCTGTTTCCAGAGATTGATATAAAACTGTGTCAAAGTTATACCAAAACTTATATATTTGTAAGATTTGGTATAATAATCTAAGTTTTAAACAGATCATATTTAGCATATATGCAACCAATCTGATAACGATGATATCCCAGCGGAGCCTGAAAACCCCAGGTTTGCGCCTATTATTTTAATTATTTGAATTTAATAATTTTTCACTTTTAATAGATTTAATTGATACGTCTGTATCACGTGACCAGAACTCCAACAATGGCAGTGCAGTATCATTGTCACTTGTCTCCGTCTGTATCACGTGCCATCTACATAGATATAAATTTAGCTTGTCTGTCTGTTTGTTTGTTTGTATCCAATAACCGTCAAAACGGCTGAACTGATTTTGTGTGGGACATCACGTGACCCCAGGAAAGGTTTATGAATGTTCAAAATTTTAAAAATTTGTGTTTAAAAGTTTTTTATTTTTGTAAAATTTTGAAAATGCGCGAAAAAATATTATGAAATCCGCAAACTTTTTTTGTTTTTGTTTTTGATACTGTTCGAAAAGAAGATGCTCACAGATAAAGACACAATTAAAAGTTGAAATAAAAGAGCCTATATACATATATAAGTTTTGGTATAATTTTGGCACAGTATTATATCAATTTCTCGAGACAGGAACATCAGATAGAACTCTAATAGGCCCCGATGAGGGATATCGTCATTTTCAGATTGGTTTCGTTTGTGGAATATATGATCTGTTTTATACTACAACTTTTATACAAAATTGCATATATATGAATTTTCGTATAAATTTGACACAGTTGTATATCAATTTCTTGAGACAGAAACATCAAATAGATGTCTTATATGTATCGTTCAACACCTGAGATTCTCAGGTTTCATCCTATACACCCTTTGATTTTTCCTGAACAGTCCCTTTAAAGTTGTAAAAGTTATACTAAAGAACATTATCAAAGTTAAACCCCATTTTTTTAAAGACCATCATTTTTTTCAAACCTGATAGAACAAGGGTCAGTTTAATGTCAAACCCAGTTTATAAATGACAAAAAAGTTATTAATCATACTTAATCATATTTCTCATTAAGTGTATAAATTAATGGTTATGTATTTGAGGAGTCCGAGTACGTATATACTTCCCAAAATACAAAACATATAAACAAAGAAAAATATGATATTTTCTTTTTTTAATTAAAAAAATAACTTTTTTGAATTAAGTAAAAAATCCAAATTATTCTGGTTTTTTTGGGTAATTTTACCACTTGAATGAAAACACTCGAACAGAATGGTGACCAACCTTTTCTATTTTTTAGGTGAGAATTCAGGGAAATCTTTCTTTGATGGATCTCCCCCTGTACCCCCTTCATAAATAAACTTACCAAAAACAAAATAAATTTAAAAGTTTACTTTCAGAAGCAAATGAGTCAGTCTTAACGAAAGGAAAAATATAGTAAATGTATTTTTCTCTAACAAAAAAAAACACAAAATAGACTTTAGACTCATTAGAGGCGCTAATGTGATATTTTTGTAGATAGGGGGGGGGGGGGAGATGGGTAGTGAAAAATATTTCGTTGGTTAAAATTTACAGAATTAATTTGGCAAAAATATTTCTAACAAAATTTTTTTAAATGTCGCGTCTTGCCCAGAAAATTGTTCTTTTGGACCAGGTTTTGTTTTGTAAATGTACGATCTAATAAAATCTGGTTTTTAGTGTTTGTTTGTGTTGCTTATGGATATAAGTTTTCTTCATTTAAACGAATAAACAATATGACGCTTTCTCATTGGGCATCCAATCAGGTTATCTTAAAGATTTGTAATTAATTAAAATTTGTGATGATAGTTATACAAAATGTTGAAACATGATTGTGTGGTTTAAAGTTAAAACATCAGTTTGCAATCTGTATGTATTTAGTCTGATACTTCCGCGCTTACATCAAATTCAAAATTTTAAATTTAAATTTCTGAACGTCGTTATGAAATAATATTCTTAAACTCTTCAATCTTGGCATCAAGTCAATTGGTAACTAAACCATTGATCGATGTCATTTCAAACTATAAAAAAAAGTTAAATGTTATTTAAATCATATTGATGTCCAAATTGATAAATCTTGATCTTCCATTCGATCTTTGCATATAACCAATGTACTTTTATACCCAACTGAAACACATATTTTGTAAATCTTCTTGTAATTCTTCTGAGATAAGCCATTTCTGATATATATAAATTCTAACCTTAGAGTTTTTCATTATATATATATTTGTATGTTTTAAAGAATTTTTCATATAAATGTATCTTTGTCTTTTTCGTTAATAAAAGTTTGAAGAAGAAATGTATTTAGTTTAAAATCTTTAAGTTTTTTTTTTTTAACCCAAAATAATTATTTATCGTAAAATTGTCTGCCTTTTTATAAATATTTAAATCCTCCGAATTCAATTATTTTGATAATTATATTTTTAGATCAGTATAGCTCAGTCAAATATTCACTGTGCTTCACATTGCCTTCTTCTAGGAGATCAAGGAACACCATGCAACTCTTTTAAGTATTTATGTACAATTTATACATTATACTTTTTAAAAACTATGCAACGGCATATCATCGGGCAGTTCAAAACCTAATATACCCGAATTTACAAAATGTTAAAAACAAAAAGAATGAACTGTTTCAAGTTCTGGCAACTTTAAATTAAATCCAATTTTACGATTAATTAAAAAGTATAAATACTTTTTTACAAGATTCTCTGAGGATGGTTCATGTGAGACCGGAAATATTAGCCGAATAATTGATGTTCCGGCCGGAAATATCTCCCTCGAAATATTTGTAGCTGATAGAGTGCTCTCCACCCTGCCACGCCTCTGCATGGGCGGGGAAGGATGCTGTCAGGTTTAAATCTTCATTTAGAAATAACTCCGGCTCAGGTCAAATTAAAGTAAATTGAGTCAATCATAACTACTCTTCTTAAAGGGCTAGTCAATCATAACTACTCTTCTTAAAGGGCTAGTCAATCAAAACTACTCTTCTTAAAGGGTTAGTCAATCATAACTACTCTTCTTAAAGGGCTAGTCAATCATAACTACTCTTCTTAAAGGGCTATTAAGAAGAACAAAAAAATTATGAATCCCTTGAATATGTAACTAATTTTTTTGCTGTCCTCTTACTTGTGCGTAAAATCAAAATGGGAGAAATGGGAGGTCCTAAAAAGTCGCATCATTAATATCGCTTAGTGCCTTTCTATTAAGTTGAGTTGAGCTTTACACTTGAAATTTCAAGCCAGTAGAGTAGACTCATGTTTTTATAAACTCTCGTTCATCAAGATTCAAGACCAAATTTTGTGTGGCTTCTGATTGGCAGATATGTTCAATCTAGAAATAACATAAAACCGTTTTGAGATCAAAGGGAGTGACCGGCTATGTAAGGTAGTTGAACTGAGTATGCAGTGTTGTGGAAATCTTCTTCCGGATTCATTTGAGACATATTAAACTTTTTAAAGATCTGTAAACCCTGAGTTTGAGGTCAAATTCGACGTTCAAAACTCTTAATTTGGGGGGGTGGATACGTTTTTAAATTATTAAATAACGACAACGAAAAATAAAGTAAATATTATACAGTAATTTGGCGTGCTACAACTTTAAAGGAAAAGAGTTACTCAACGATTAACTTTATTTAAAAACTTAACTTATATAGTAAAATAATTGAATCTTTAACACATGATTTTATATCAGCTGATCTGGAAACTCCTCCTTGGATTTCTCTAGAAATATTCAGGAAGACGATATTCATATCCGCCACAGTACACTAATTAGATGGTTAGGAACATATTTCTCAAAAGAAATTTGTCAATAAATCAATGCTAAAATCGATTATTTCGTTTTCATTATGTATTGAATTTCTAATTTTCTTTGAATTTATTCGCAGATTTCTTCAACTGATTCAAATGTCGTCTTTTCAATAATAATTAGAAAATCTGCGAAAACTTTGTGAATAATGAGATAATAGAAACTAATAAACAAGATTACTTATTTTCGATGAAAAGATAAATTTTTATTTTCTCAACATGTTTCTACACATGACGTTTGTAGTTTATTGTAGAACTTTTTACATTTTATGTCGTCGTTATTTGATAAGTAGGAGTTTTGAACATCGGATTTACAGATCTTTAAAAAGTTTAATATGTCTCAAATGAATCCGAAAGAAGCTTTCCACAACACTGTTTACTCAGTTCAACTACCTTACATAGCCGGTCACTCCCTTTTAAGAGTAGACATTTCCATATATCTAGGCGTAAAATAGCTTTATTTCTTAAACCCTATTTAGTTTATAATCTTAAGTAAAACAATGTTTATATAAAAGGGAGAATGTGAGCTAGGGGATGGAGATTGCAACCAAGATCAGGATTGTAAAGCGCCTTTTATTTGTGGATCCAACAACTGCTGGACTGAGTTTAAAAAAGGTCAACTTACTCATTAAAGGAGTTTACTCTGATTTCCTTTCAATTAATCTTTGCAACCCACCCTCAACTAAGCTTTCGGTGTGTACCGCAGTGATTTACAGTATACTGACCGAAGAAATAGTCGGATTTGGTGGAGAGTGTTAACCCGATGTCAAAGACCTGTGATATTTCAAACTATAAATTCTATCAGATAAAGTAGTCCAAGTTTGGAAAAAGTGAAAGGTTTACACCATCTAATTGCAAAGAAATAGGGATTAGAAAATTTGAGTTTTTGGCTAAAACTCAATTTCTTTAACTAAGGAGGTTTACAACATCTGATTGTAAAGAAATAGGGATTAGAAAATTTGAGTTTTTGGCTAAAACTCAATTTCTTTAACTAAGGACACTGTTACCCCTAGCCCGAGCAGAGTTTACGTTTTATAAAGCGCATAAACATTGAAGGGCAAACATTTTAGAAAAATATCGCAATGCAAAATGTAAAAAAGAAAGAAAAAAATGATTATCGTTCAAGAAAAATAACTTTTAATAGAATTTTAAATTCGAATTGAATTCAAATCTTAAGCTTTATTCTGAAAATCAAACTGATTCAACTTTTAAAATAAACTTTGATTTTTTTATTTTAAAAATAAAATATTTTCAAAGTGATATTTAACGGAAGCAGTAAAACATGTTCAAAGTGATATTTAACGGAAACAATAAAACATATTCAAAGTGATATTTAACAGAAACAATAAAACATGTTCAAAGTGATATTTGACAGAAACAATAAAAAATCTACTTTATAAATAATATATTCTAAACAGGAAATGGTAGTTGGGATGAAGAAGATGATTGCTGTACCAAGAAATGTGGACCTGGTAAATTTTTATTAAAAGTGAAGGAAAAAAGACATTTCATGGATATTAATTTAATTTAGACGAGACATTTTATAGATGTACTTTTCACAGGCAGAACATTTAAAATACAGGACATTTTGAAGATAAGATTATTTTTTTAAAAATTTAAATATGATTCCTTTAAGGTCGACTATGTGGACACGGTGAAGGTGTTTGTTTAACAATGTTTGATTGTAAGCTGCCAGGATACCATCTGTGTTCCCTCAGCTCTTGTCAGAATTCTACAATATTTAGATAAGTATTTATTTCTTGAAAGACCGTTTTTCGATCATATGATAAAAAAGTCCTAACCCGTATCAAGCTGGATGAAAGTCGTCTTTGTTTTATTTATAATCGCAGCTTAAAAGATATTGTAATTTGAAAGGTTAAAACCATAGATAATGATAGATTGCGCATAAGACGACATTTTTTTATCTTGAAAGATATAAATGTAAAGACTACAGAGATGTTTTAAAGATATTCCTATTAAGTTAGTTTAGTCCTTCTCATGTCCTTCTTCAGTTCTCGTCAATATGATATATTGCTCAGTGGAATATTGTTGTTCAAATAATTCCATTCCCGGAGTTATTTTACACTATTATGAAATCCATTAAAACACCAAACCACCCCGCTTATCATTGAAGTACACTTTGACCCTAAGAAGTATGACTTCGCGGACTGTACAATTCTTGGTGATTTTGCGTACATAAGCTATCTATGTTTATTTATTTATCTATGGTTAAAACTAATTAATATCTCGTTACAACAGTTACAAACTTTCAATACGTTCTTAAATTGGTTATGTATCATAAAAGCCTTACTCCAATAAAAACTGGTGAAAAATTTGACCTTTTTCAATTGTTTTAGATATAAATGTAATATTAAAGGGACTTTTATTGTAAAGGAATTGAGTTTGTCACAAACTTTGATTTTCTAATTCATATATCTTTGCAACCCAATTGCGTAGACCCTAGATATTTCAAACTATGATTTCTGTTAAATCAAATAATCCAAGTTTGAAAAGTCAAAAGGTTGCAAGATTAGGTATTAAAGAGGGATTAGAAAATTATAGTTTGTGGCGGAGACTCAATTCCAAATTAGTGAACCTCCATTTAAAGAAGGTTAAGTGAAATTCGCAACGGCACGGGTACCCTTGAAACTCTAATAAAAATAAAAAATGTTCTTGAAAACTGTTTTATTTCATAAATTTTAAGTTTTTCCTTTGTTGTCACTTTTGGAGGGAAACCACAATAAAAATTTACAGTTTAAAATAACAAATGCATAAATATTTAATTAATACTTGGCCAGACATTAAGCTTTTACGGGTACAATTGTGAATCTGACATGTCACTTTTCACTTGAAAGTTCATTCATAGGTCCTTTACGGAGTTCCTCTAAACTATACGCTGACAATCTCATTACACAATCATAGAAATAATCCAGACATTAATCTTACTTTTTCTTCTTTAGTGAGTTGGAGCGTCTGGAGCATACGTCTCTAAGTCTTATAGGACAAAGACAATGCTGTCATAGAGCGTGTGGAAATAATTACAAGTAAAATTTTTTACAAAAATTTACCAAACTTACAGTTAGGACCAAACTACGGTGTAAAAAGAAGACGATGTTTAAGGAATACTTAAGTGTTTTAAAGTAAAAAGTAAAACTTTTAAAATCACCAATCAATTGAAAAGCACTGGTTCAATTATTCTTAATTGCTTTGAACTTTTTAAAGCCATAACTTGAGTCTTACAGGGCTAGAACAAAGGAAAAATGAAAGGGGGTATAGGCTGAAACCTGAGCACTTAAGGAGTTGATCGAGACCCATGAGAGTTCTATCTGATGAAAAGGGTTTAGAGTAAAGATCCCAGAGACGAGATTTTAAAAGCTTAAACCCGACTAAAACCCGGTCTTTACGTCTGCTTAGACCCAAGTAAAGCTCAAGTCAAGACCCGGGTTTTGGATGGCCTTGAGTTTAGTAAGAACCAACCCTCTTGGGTTTTACTCTCTTTAAGGCTCGAGTCTTCAGCAGCTGATGATCGTAAATTTCGTAAAATCTTTTATATTTGTACATTTAAAATCTCGAGAATTATTTGTAGTGTCAAATTTTATTGAATATATAAAATAAGCATACTATGAAAATAATGTATCAACATAAAGTTTGAATTTTCGAAATTTACATCTCCTTGTCACAGCTGAACTGACAGCATTCTGTCTGCTACAGAGAGAAATTTTGCAACACAGTCTCTCATTGGTCGAATCAGAACCAATCCTGACATGGGTTCTATTTAAGCCCAAGTTTGGGTTTTAGTCGGGTTTAAGCTTTTAAAATCTCATCAGGACTACACGTTACTAGAATACTGCACTGCCATTGGTCGGAGTTCTTGTCACATGATACGGACTTCAAAATAATATTATCAATTATATCTATTAAAAATGAAAAATTATTAAATTCAATTAATAGGAGCAAACCTAAGCTTCTTTGGCTCCTCAGGGATATCGTCATTTTCAGATTGGTTGCGTAGTTTCTCAATATGATCTGTTTAAACCTACGTTTTTATACAAAATTTTAAAAATATAAATTTTCGTGTAAATTTTATTATTTGACTCAGTTTTATATAAACTTCTCGAAACAGAAACATCAGATAGAACTGTAATGGTTCTTGATCTACTCCTAAAATGCTTTGGTTTTATGCTATACCCCCTTTCATTTTTCCTTTACAGTCACTTTTCGTCTCACTATTCCAGAATTTTCTAATTTTAATAGAATTAGATAAACATCATTTTTCTCATAACATAAGGTGTGGAAATAATACAATTGGTTGTGCCTCGAACCTTGACTGTTTGCCTGGTCATGAATGTATTATTAAAGAAGATGGATTTCATTTCTGTAGAGATATCAACGAATGCACGGATCCAAGGTGATACCAACTTATTTTTATTGCAAAATTTTTCCCCCCACAGCCACCATTTTCAGTTAGAACTTAAAGTTTTCTTTGGGTGTAAAAATTAAAGAAAAAATTTGCCACTAGCTAAGATTTTTTTAGTTTTGAAACCCGATGTTGTAGATCTTAGAAAGGATTTGAGTTTTTGCCACAAACTCAAATTTGTCCATCCCTATATCTTTGCAATCCAATATCGTAGACCGTTGGTATTTCAAGCTATTAATTCTGTTAGATCAAATGGTCTAAGTTTGAAATATCAAAGGTTTGCATCTTCAGGTTGCAAAGATATGGGTTTTTAGAAAATTTGAGCTTCCGGCAAAAACTCAGTTCCTTTTAGACTTTAGAATCCGCTACATGAAATGATTTAAATTTGAAATATTAAAGTTTTTACACCATCAGGCTGCAAATATAAAGGTGTTAGAGTATTTAACTCGATTCCTATATGTGAAAATGCCGCTTAAAACTTTTGGGGTTGGCTTGAGGTTCAAAATGAAAAACGAAAACGAATTGCCTGAAATTCTAATTTAAATTTTGTTTAGACATTCTTCGATATCCCTGAGCTACTGCGGAGCTAACACTTTCTGTAATGACACTCTTGGAAATTATACATGTAGCTGTAAACCAGGCTATAATGGATGGATTCCATATTCAGGATGTTCTGATATTGATGAATGTCTTGGGTATGACCCTTGTCTGTATTCCTACACAGAGGTAGTAATTAATGTCAATTGGTTTTAATCGTTAAAAAGAAAAAAAAACCTGCCAAGATTTCAGAGCTGTACTGCATACATTAAAGTTTGTCTTTGTTAAACTTTCGATAATTTTAACTCTAATAAAATATAAAAACCGATCCCAAAACGTTCGTTTCAACTCGTTTGTTTTTGCATTGTTGTTGAATAGTTTTTGGGTCGTTTTTTGCATATATCTGTAGCAAAAAGTGTGTAGACAATAGACATGATATTCTGTAAAATTGTACAATACAAATGATTTAATGTTCTAAACTTAGACGTAATGAGATTGTTCATTAAAACTGCGTTTCAATTTAATACTTAATATAATTAACTTAAATCATTCGACATGCTCAAATTACGGTATAAAATATGGCCAAAGATAGATTAACTACAATATATCTATTCTCTTTAAATACTGTGATAATTCACGAATATAAATAAAATAATAAAAGAGATTCTAGAAATATTAACTTTTTCTGTAGTAGATCAGACCTTCTAGTTTTATTCTTTCTTTAGTTCAATTTGATTCAGACCTCTATTTAAGTATTTACTTTCAAAAATTTCTAATATCTTTTTTACTACTCATATAGACTCTATGAAAAATAAACTTTACTTACTTATCCAATAGTTTATTCACAAAGGTTGGTCACAGAGTAAAGTATAATGAAAAATACAATGTTTATATATGGTTGAGAAATTACAATGATGCCTCTCTTGCGCAGAAGAAAGGGTGTGTCTGTAAAGCCTGAAGACGCCTAGAAATCTTTTTTAGCAACAATGAAAGGGTTCAATGCAATGTGAAAGTTAAGACGTAGTTTCTGTTTGCAAAAAAAAGGATTTTACTGGTTATTTCTAGTTATTTAATGAAACAAACCAAAAGTTAGGCAATGTATAAGTTTTTACTGGTTATTTCTAGTTATTTGTGGTACATTTGAATTATGGGTTCATTTTTATCATATAGCTTTATCTAAAAATGTCACAATACATACCTTAAACTTTAACTGTGCGATAAATACGTAATACGATGGTATTAATCATGTGATATTAATAACATCTTAGGAAATGAATTCCGTCAATTCCTGTTAACCTTGTAACATAAGCTATTTGAATAAAGTTAGTTGATTGAGACTCGGCTTTGATTACGGTATCAGTCTTGTTCTCTTCAAGAGCCTGTGTGGCTTTTAATATTAGGGAATTAAGCTTGGTTGAGATTTGGGACTGTGTGTCCTTTGGAACTGGAGAGTTAGTCCTGGTTGATCTTGGTAACGAATTGACCCGGATAGAGTAAAACTGTTATGGAGTAGGTATTTTCTACAACCTCCACTCCCCTCCTTCCTCTATATAGATAACATCGTAGGAGTTGAATTACGTCAATTCCTGTTAACCTTGTACCATAAGCTATTTGAATAAAGTTAGTTGATTGAGACTCGGCTTTTGATTACAGAAGCAGAGAGCTTGAAACAAAGCTTTGGTTCTTGTTGAAACATAGGAGTGGGAGATCTTGCTAATTGTTTTAGCATTTATTCGAGTTAGCGTCTGAATGACATTGATAGTTTATGGTCCCTAGAGCATTAAATCGATATATAGCTTGAAAGATAGCTTTGTTCTTGTTGAAACATAAGAGCGAAGGTTGTGATACGGCTTGTGTACAAGCCTGAGAGTTACTCCTATATCATTGTATGCTTGTGTCCCTGTATGGCATTTAGAGCTGGTCCTGGTTGAATATAGAGCCTGAGCTTTAGTCCTACGTATTATTGTATGCTTGTGTCCCTGTGTGTAATTTAGAGCCATGGTCCTGGTTGAATATAGAGTCTGAGCTTCAGTCCTATATCATTGTAACCCCCCTGACTATTATCAAATATGATGAAATGCGCAAGCCTTATTTTTAAATTCACATTGTATTTTTAGTGCACAAATACTGTAGGAAATTATACTTGCAGCTGTAAAACAGGTATTTATTTAACAGATAATTTTAAACATCTGTTCTGCATTACTCAAGTCAAAATTATCACACGGCGAAGTTTTTGGGGCACTCGCAAATAAAGCTGTTAAATTACCAGTTCGATTGGGTTTCATATCTAAGCATGTTAATCCGGGCCGACTATAATTTTCTAAAATTACATGTCTCTACGGAACTAATGTGCTATTAAACCAAATTTCCCTATGAAGATTTTAAAATAAATTGATTTTTAGAATTGATAACAAATTAGGGCATAAGTCCTTACTGTTGGAGAATTATAGTAAGACCAAAAATCCTCGTTGTTGGCATGCTTTTCATTATGCAACGAAAAGTTTTGATTTCCTTTAACATCACTGTGAAAAATTTGTAACAGAATGAATTTTCTTTCCTCATCATTCTTCACGTTATTCAATTAATTGTTACTCATCGGATTGCGCCATAGTCTCATATATAACTTTGGATTGTGCTAAATCTAGGTTTTGTTCCTAACGTCGGAGAACACAGATTGCTCCAATGTACGGACCTAGACGAATGTGTCACGTATCCAGGAATATGTGGAGAAAATACTATCTGCTCTGATACTACGTAGCTACAGGTAGTTTCTCTTCAATTTTCTGATCAAATACAAATACAAATACAAATTTGCACGTTATTGGCAATTAATCCTATCCCTCCTGGGGTACTATAAAACCAGGATACGCTGGAGGGGGGGGGGGCAATTTGACCCCGGCCCCCTCTAAATCCAATGTTTGATGTCAAAATATTACAAATGATACACCATTGGAAAGCTCTTATGCTCTATTTTAGAATATGCAAAAAATTGTAAATTTGGAAAAATTGTAATTTTTTTTGTGGAAAATCCAGTTATATAGTAAAAATGTTTGCAAAAAAATTTCAAAGAATTGATAAAATATACATTTTTGAAAAGCCCGTGACCATGCCATTTCAAATATGCAAAAAATATTGCAAAATTTTAAATAACCTGATGTGCAATATAGAAAAACTAAAAATGTGCAAATTTCTTTTGACGGGTTGTATGCAAATAATTTGCAAAAATTTCTTTGCAAAACTTGTGCAATCAGATTCCATCACCCAAGCAGTCAGAACATTTCAACAGCCTCAGACCATTACTTTTTGAGTTATGTAAAAAAACACTATAGAAGGGGGGGGGGGCAAAATTGACCCCCCCCCCCAGGAGGAAAAGAGTTAATCAGCATGAGAGGGTAAGTCATTGTTAAATTTTTTATTTAAATGATGCAAATTTTAGTATTCATTTTACTTTTGAGCATTGCTTAAATAATATTTTATCAAATTACCATGATGAGGTCAAACCCATAGAGAATAGAATATATATTAGAGAGGAATTTACTAGAAAAAAGTGTAAAACGGCCATTTTGTTGTACTGTTTTCATACTGCAGGTGTACTTCACATATTTATGCTATTTAACCTGTTGGGCCCTGGATTATCATTTTATTGAAAATCTAAAATTATTGTTAAAAGAAACCCAAATTATGAAATAGGCTGGTTTCATAATTGACCAATGATCATTTCACATAGACTCTATGCCTTCCACTTTACAAACGATGATTTTCCATTATAATTATAAATCAAATGATGTTTTTATTCACCTAATTCATTATAAAGTTTATTTAACAGTTTAAAAAATTCGAAATTGAAATGAATAGTCTAGGGAACATACTGTATTAATGTACTCTACTGCATATAATTTGTGAACATTTACATGATTTGTACACTTTGAACTCCCTTTCAGGCTGAAAGGGACTGAAAAAATTCATACCGAGAGATTCTTTAAATTCCTCTCTATATATTCTATTCTCTATGGTCAAACCTTTTGTATTGATCTGATCTTCAGGGCTTGGATGTGTGCTCGATAGAAAACTTAATTTGAAGCAATTATTATCCGAGAAAAACAGCTGATTCCTATATTTCGAAATCCACTTTTGGGTTAAAGCAAACTTGCGGCTCATGGTTGGTCGGACCTTGACTAAACAATCAATTTGAATCGTTGTTCATGTAAAAGATACGGATTAGTGCTTCCTTTATAAAAGGAGAAGGACTAGACATCTAATAAAAACATTGAAAGTTTTCATTTGGTCGGTTGCCAACCTTTAAACCTTTCCTGAACTAACAAGAAAACAAGATCTGATCGGTCAGTCATTTTATAAATGTCACATGTATAAATGAATTAAAACCCGAAAGATAAAATATTTAAATATACGACCACAAAATACCTCTATTTAATTAGGTTCCTACAGATGTTCTTGTAAATCAGGATACTCAGGTCTTATACCAGGAGTAGGGTGTGACTGTCCAACAGGTCAGAACTACGGTTTCAAACTAAGGAAGACACTTGAACATTTCCTTAACTGTTTAAATCATAAATATTTGGAACTTAAAGACGGAACCTTTATGTCCAGAATTAAGAATAAATCTTGGGTGTGCCATTAAAAAAACTTTTTACGTGACAATTGTTCCGGATCAATTGACTTCATACAGATCCATTTTTTTACAAAATATCGTGCACCAATCTCTGTTTATTATGTAACGGAAATATTTAGCTAAAAATTGGCGAAGGTTCCACTGTTAATTCTCCAAAAGTTTCAAGGTTTAAAATTCTTAACAGCTTACGGAAAGATCCCGGAAGGCAGCTTTAAAAAATACTAATTTATTCGGAATAAAATCGGAAACCCTGGTCAGAATCTCAGATCTTATTTCCGTACTAAGCTATGCCGGGACTAGGTTGCGAGTGTAAAAATCAAATTCTTGTTATGGATTTTCCAGGGAGGGGGACGTCCCTCCCCCCAATCTAAGCCGCCTCTGATTTTCCAGACCAGGAATTCGATTTCTTTCAATTTTATTCTGGTTCTAAAGCGTTCTGCATAAGTTCTTCACCCGGAAATTAGGGCTTTTCTAATTTTTGCTGTAAAAAGAAAAAATGTGGCATTTTTCTAAGTCAATATTTAGCGATATTAAAAGTATTTGTAAACTTGTATTTATTAACAATGATCCCCTCTTTGGAAAACTAAAATTAAAAATTTAAAGACACTGTAGACTTCATTTCAAGTGTAGAGAAACGAAATATTAGATTCACAACGGTAGCCTTTAAACTTCTACTTGTGTATCAACTATCAATGAGGAAGACGATGTCGTTTTTCTATCTCGAAATATGTTAAATTCTGTATATTTCTCTTAATCCTTTCTGGAGTATAGTTCTGAATGTTGCACTTCCTTTAAAGAAACTAGAGTTGAAATTTATTTTCAGTTTATAAACAAGGATTCCTACTTCAACCTTCATAAGAAAAAGATACCATCGTAAATCGGACATGACCATCTATAAATTAAGGGCCACGTAATATTTTGTTTACAGTCCTTATAAGAAAGAAATGAGATATAATGTTTAGGTGTTGATCCTGAGTTAAACGGATGCGGAGAATATCTAAACGGAACCTCAGGATATTTCACCAGTCCTAAGTAAATCTTAATTATAATCAGATGCAGGGGTCCATATAATTCCCAAAATAGCTGATTTTCTGGATCCCAAAATAATTTTTTGCCACCAACTTTAAAAGAAAAGGCCCCCATTTGTAAAAAAATGCCCCCAATTAAAAAAATATTTTTAAATTCCACCAACACATTTGACACCATTGCCCCCAATTTGAAAAAAATGCCCCCAATTAAAAAAAATGCCCACAAATTAAAAAAACATTTTAAATTCCACTAACACATTTGCCCCCATTGCCCCCAATTTAAAAAAATGCCCCCAATTAAATTTTTTTTATTTAATTATCATTTTAAAAAAAACTGCCCCCTTTTCTTTCAAATTTGTCAATCCCAAATGGGATTTAAAAAGGAATTATATGGACCCCTGATTAAATGTTGTTTGGATTTTTTAACAACTTCAAAATTTTCAGTTATCCAAATAACTTTCCGTCTTATGTGGAATGCTATTGGGTAATTCAGGTAAGTGCAACTCTCTATTTCAATCCACTATTTATTCGGTCGGTGTACTTCAAATCACAGCACTACTCACCAAAAGAGTATGTATAGCTAAAAGCAATCAAGCACTCTTAAACAAATGCGTGTTTTACACTAACTGAAGAAACATTGAAAGCGAGCCAGATCTAAATGATTAAAGATTCATAAAATATCAACGCTCGAGGGAGGGAAGGTGCACCACAACATTTTGTCACAACTCACCATTATTTATTCCGACCACACCTTTTTTCGTCTGGGCCTTCTGAGGGTTGAAATGTATTTTGTATGGCTTGTAACACGGTTTTTTTTTCCAATTTAGGAAACTTCGTGTTATTAAATATGGCTTGGTTTGTATAAAATGCATTTTGTTTGAAAAATAAAACGATTCATAAGTCCAGTTTAGCAAAGAACGGAAAATATGTGTGCCACACCTGTTTTACGGCCGCATTGCACATTTTTCTACTGTTTTCTTGCTTTACTCATAAACTGCAACTTGTAGGTTATGTTAAGCTGGGAGTTTTATAGAATCTACAACTAAAAATCGACATTTTTTTAGTAAGGGACACAGCACTTGCTTTTATTTTGCCTGAGGGATTATTAAATAAAAATGTCCATAAATTGTTTTATGGCTTCTATTACTTCCATAAGATGTTTTGTGTTAAAAAAAAACTGGATAAAATGTGTTAAACCATTATAAACAACATGACGTGGCTCAAATTTCGAATATGATAATTTTAATTGCCGGACAAATAAAGTTGTGGTCGGACGAAGGAATGGTGAATTTTTACGTTATTTGTGGCCAGTGGAAAAAATTGTGTGGTGCGCCTTCCCTTCACAAACACTCTGATAGAATTGGAATGAAAAATACAGCTCACATAATTCTTCTCATAGATTAATAACAATTCAAATGAAAAACACAATATCCCTGAGGCAGAAGCCCAAAAGAGTTACGCGCATGTTCTCTCTCTGTCCTGTAATCTAACACGGCATGAGCGAAGCTTCTTTGGGCTTCTGCCTCAGGGATATTGTGAACGAAAAACCCCTAAATTTTGAAAAGACGATACCTAGTGTTCTATATGTATCGCTTTTAATCTCTGATTCTTCTGTTGTTGGGTATTCTGATACACCCAAGATTAATACTATATCTACAGTACACTCTAGATAACGAAATGAAAATAATTGTATTTTTCGGCAGCAAAAGTTGAATTGCTGCCAATTGAGCGAAAAAATACTGTTTTATTCAACAAAAAATCGCTAGTTTGGCAATAATCTAATTTGTTGCTCCCGTAAAAAGCGTTTTTTTTTTGTTGAATGTAAGCGATATTTGTCACTTAACGGACAGCCCTCCATCTTTTACTACCAATTAGGCGATTTGATGAATTCGTAATTTAAAGTGTGTTATTGTACACTGTACAGGTTGAAGAGGGTTATCATGTTCTCTTCAACTTTACAGATATCGTCACTGGGTCATCAAGCAGCTATGTCAGAATCAGGTTATTTTTAGATTCAGATTTCAGATGTTTAGAAAAAAAAGAGACCCTAAAACATTTTGAGATCAATATATGGTGGAATAAGTTAAATAGCTGCCAAATAAACGATTAGCTTATTTCAGTTGATATTAGCTCCAAGACTAACACTAGGATTTAGAAATGGAGACAAACGGAACGATTGGGTTTTTAGGATCCCGGCTCTAATATCGAAATTAAAAGTCGATAATAAAAACTAGAATTAGAATAGATGGTAATGGTAAATAAGACTATCCCTCATGGTATGAATTTGCTCAATCCGTTACAATTTGTTATTATACATACAGTTTATGCTGAAATGCATCGAGAATGCATGACAGTCAAAGAAGGGATTCAGACAAAAACCAAATAATTTTCAAAAATAATTCTATAAAAAGATGTTCTAGGGCCCTAAAGGTTAAATAGCATAAATGTGTGAAGTACACCTCATGCAGTATGGAAGCAATACAACAAAACTTTTTTAGACTTAATTCCACTCCACTCTTATCTTTGATTTTGCCTTATTTGCTTAAATGCTTGAAAATTGACATTGATTTGAATTCGAGTGATTGTCCCAAAATATTCCAAAAACCTCATGCGGTAATTGTTTCAAAATGGGGCCATGTTTGAATGTTTCAAATTGAAATTTATAGTTTCAATATGTAGTTTTGGTCATCTTAAATAAATATATGGTGTACTTAGCTACTCTGCTTGGATTTAAAGATATATTCTCTTGAAAAAGATAACTTTGCAGATTTGGCCCATTTCTAACATTCAATGTTGTAAATGGGCCAATTGTCAGCTGTATTTGGCAGCCATCATACTTTTGCTGCCAAACCTGCAGTGATGTTTTTTATTTCAAAATTTGGAATGTAATGTATAATTTTCTGTACTTAGATTGTAAGGTATAACTCTATTTAGAATGTAAGGTATAACTCTATTTAGAATGTAAGGTATAAATCTATTTAGAATGTAAGGTATAAATCTGTTTAGAATGTTAGGTAAAAATCTATTTATAATGTAATGTATGAATCTATTTAGAATGTAATGTATATAAATCTATTTAAAATGTAATGTATAAATCTATTTAGAATGTAATGTATAAATCTATTTAAAATGTAATGTATAAATCTATTTAGATATGTAATTTATAAATCTATTTAAAATGTCATGTATAAATCTATTTAAAATGTAATGTATAAATCTATTTAGATATGGAAAATGTAGTACGACGACTGATTATTTAGTCAGCAGTCTATACAAGTATAGTTACAGTAGTCCCACATCAGCTGTATTGGTAAAACCTTTAAAACGAATCATAAAGACACTTCAGACGACTTTTTTCAATAACCTCAAAGGGATTGAGTCTTTGCCACAAACTCTGATTTTCTAATCACTATATCTTTGGAACCAAATGTTGCATACCTTAGATATTTCAAACTATGAATTCTGTTAGATCAAATAATCTAAGTTTGAAATATCAAAGTTTTACAAAATCGAGTTTTAAAGATTTTGTGGTTTAAATATTTGATTTTGTTCCAAAGACTCAATTCCTTTACAGGTTAATATTCACGATAAGGTTTCTAACACGTTATCTGTAAAATAAATCAACAATAGTAGAAAAACTATCTCTGCCATCGTTTTAAAAACATAATTTTTAAAGAATTCCTAACAGGCCAATTTTCTTCTCTTACATATCATTTAGTATTTTTCTTTAGAACTTAATAATTTCTTGAAGGAGGCTAGGGACGGTTTTCTTTAGAACTTAATAATTTCTTGAAGGAGGCTAGGGACGGTTTTCTTTAGAACTTAATAATTTCTTGAAGGAGGCTAGGGACGGCGAAACGGTTATGAACGTTGTTCTTCAAGCTTCGTATACTACAAGCAGGAAATAATTCTATCTTTCAAACTTTAAAACGAAAAATGTATGCTTGGATAATTTGATTTTGAAATTTGAAATTTAATGCAAATTGTGCTTTTGAAAAAATATAAAGATAAAATAATTGCAAAGGGGGTTTAATGTAACCTGGACTGCGGTGCAGGATGGTATTATCTAATTATGAAGTATTCTCTCAGCTAGAAGTTTGGCCTCGATTAAAGTGAAATGATTGACGAGAGGCTTAAACTAGAATTATGACAAATTTTGAAAAAATCAAATAAACAATTTTTCGTTTTGTACTACTTTATTTTAAGACTCCTTTATCTAATGGATTTCATTAATGCATTAAAGGGAGTGACTGGCTATGTAAGGAAGTTGAACTGAGTATGAAGTGTTGTGGAAAACTTCTTTCGGATTCATTAAAAATAAAACTAATTCTGAAAACGTATACACCCCCAAAGTAGGAGTTTTGAACGTCGAATTTGCGCTCAAACTCAGGATTTACAGTTCTTTAAAAAGTTTTATATGTCTCAAATGAATCCTAAAGAAGTTTTACACAACACTGCATACTCAGTTCAACTACCTTACAAAGCCGGTTGCACTCCCTTTAAGCATGAAGCTGCATTAATGGAATGATACAAAAGGCTTTTGTATGAAGAACTTTGAAATAGAATTAATTGTACTATGAAATTAGAATGATTAAATGTTTTGAAAAAAAAACTCAAAGAATTCATGATTTTTTCTGAAAAATTGTGTTTTTAGTTCAAATGTGAAATGAGCTTCTCTGCACACTTTACAGCAATATAAATCTCTTTTTTAGATGAGCATAATTATTATTTGGTAAATATTTTCATCTACATATTTCTATATGTATATGTTATATGTTAATAGAAAACAGTGAAATGAATGCCGTCGATTGTATTTTTTTTTATAGAAAATGAGAATCTGGGGATAAATTCCCGTGGTGATTGTATCCTCAGCTAAAAACTCTAGAATTGTGGATATCAAATTAATAAAATATTTATTTTCTATATCATGGACAGTGTCTAAAATTCAGCTAATCAGAGTGTCGTTTGCATAAACCAAACAGGCAATCAGAAGCCAGGAAATCTTGTGGACAATCAATGATCATTCATTGGTCGCAACACATGCACGAAATGTTTTACAGCATTAAATATTTTCAGCATGTGTTGATTTAAAAGGCTGGTCAAATTCTGAACTTTGCATAAATCCACCCACAGCACAAATTAACATTTTTAATGTTTCAAACTTGAGAGAATAAATGTAGACGTTTATTTGAAAACAAACCTTGTCTGTCTTATCTGCATTATCCTTGGAGAGTTGATCCCGGGGGAAATTCAAGAATTTGGTCCAAACTTTACCGCTTGTCGACAATTTATCCACCAAAAAAGAAACATAAAACTTTATAAAATAAAAGCAAAGTTTTTAAAATGAATCATAATTAAATAAAAGCATTAAATTTCTGGGCTCACAAGACCCAAATTAAATTGTATGAAAGGTAAAGTTTGAAAGTTATGCTAATTTTAAATTGATTAGATTTATACTCTGATAAGTTAGAACATTTATTCAGGGATTGCCGTTTTCGATCCGATATGATCTTAATGAGATATCCATATTTTTCTAGGTGGATATTACGCAAATCTAACTATTTTTTCTGAATATTTGGATCTCTTATTAACATGCGCGTTAAAAATAGCTATAGAAGACTTTATATACTAAATATTTTAAAAATAAAGCCCAACAAAGAAGTCTAAAATAGTAAATTCGAAAAATTTACAAAAAATGGGTTCTAAAGTTAAGACTCTTTGTACCACTATAGCTCACCGTATATTTCAACACTGGTTTCTCTTTAAAAAGTAATATAAAACCGATAATTAATAATTGTTCCTCAGGTGAGCGGAAGAAGACAGCCGGCTATAAGCCTTAACATTTTGCCTTCCATGTTACATATTGTTTTTTTTTCTTCCTGCAGCCATGAGCCACAACCGTATGGTCTTTCATGACAAAGAATTTTAGTCTTCCAGCAGTTATTACATTTTTGTCGTCTTCCTGAATTCAAAGGTTCAGGTACTCTGTCCTCCCTTCTCGTAAGCCTGTATGTGACTATTTCTGGCTAACAAGTGTAAATGTAACCAATGCACACTATGAAGCTAATTGTCTAATTACACAAAACAATGAAGACAATTATTTATGCTAATTGGTTGTATAAGATATAAAAGAAGCATAGGACAATTTATATATATATGTATTATACATAAGATATGGTCTGTTGTGTACATATATGTAGCGATTTTAAACAGTACAAATGTCCAAGAAGATATAAAACATCACATATCTAAAAAGGGCTAATATCAAACTTTATCTGTATCCTAGGTCAAACTAAAAAAATATAAATCTTTTTAGTTTTGAAAAAAAATGTTACTAAGCAGATTTATCTTTTCCTGAATATTCAATATTTAGCCCACTTCGTAAAAATCTTGTTTTGTTTTGTTTAACAATAAAGAATCTTAATTCTTGCCACAAACTCAAATTTACTCATCCGTATATCTTTACAACCTGATGGTGTAGACCTTAGATATGTCAAAGTATGAATTCTGTCAGATAAAATAAACTTAGTTTGAAATATCAGGTTGGAAATATATAGGTATTACATTTTATTTGTTTAAGGCAAAAACTTAGTTCCTTTCAGGTTTAAACATAGAGAATAGAATATATAGAGAGGAATTTACTTGAAAAAAAATGTAAAACGGCCATTTTGTTGTACTGTTTCCATACTGCAGGTGTACTTCACATATTTATGCTATATAACCTGTTGGGCCCTGGAATATCATTTTATAGAAAATCTAAAATTATTGATAAAAAGAAAACCAAATTATGAAATAGGCTGGTTTCATAATTTACCAATGATCATTTCACGAAGACTCTATGCTTTCCACTTTACAAACGATGATTTTCCGTTATAACTATAAATCAAAGGATGTTTTTATTCACCTAATTCATTATAAAGTTTATTAAACAGTTTAAAAAATTCGAAATTGAAATGGGTAGTCTAGGGAACATACTGTATTAAAAATTAATGTACTCTACTGCATATAATTTGTGAACAATTACATGATTTGTACACTTTGAACTCCCTTTCAGACTGAAAGGGCCGGAAAAAATTCATACCGAGAGATTCTTTTAATTCCTCTCTATATATTCTATTCTCTATGGGTTTTAAACAATTGTGCTCTATACCAAAACATTACAGCTTCATATAAACTTCAAAATATCCATTGTTCGAAAGCGAATAACTTGAATAAAACAGAACAAAAGTTTTATGTATGTTATGCATTTTTTATAAACATTTTTTCCAAGAAAATTTGTTTTTAATATTTTGTAAAATTTTGTGTGAATCTGAGGAACAAAGAAATAAAAAATGAAAGTTCAAAAATGGTAAGGAATATAGAAACATACTTTAGAACGTCAATTCTAGTTTAAGTTTAATTTGTTTATTTTAGTTTTAGTTTTAGTTCTATTTTATCTAGTTTTTGCTCTAATTCTAGTTCTAGTTTTAGATTTAATGTGTTAAGAAAGGAAATAAAAAATAGAATAAAAATGAGTTTCAAAACGTCAAGAAATTTATTCAAACAACACTAGGGGACGTTACTTCTAGTTCAAGCTTTATTTTTGTATCTAGTTCTTCTAGTTCAAGCTTTAGTTTTGTATCTAGTTCTTCTAGCACAATCTTAAGTCTTGTATCTAGTTCTAGTTCTAGTTTCTATTAAAGTTTTTAATCTATTTCTAGTTCTAGTTTTGTTAAAGTTTTTAATCTATTTCTAGTTCTAGTCTTTTTAAAAGTTTGTATTTCTAGTTTTTTAGCTAGTTCTAGTTCTAGTTCTAGTTTTTTTAGTTCTTGTTCTAGTTCTAGTTCTAGTTCTAGTTCTAGTTCTATTTCTAGTTCTTGTTCTAGTTCTAGTTCTAGTTCTAGTTCTAGTTCTAGTTTTTTTAGTTCTAGTTCTAGTTCTAATTCTAGTTTAAGTTCTAGGTCGAGTTCTAGTTCTTATTCTAGTTCTAGTTCTAGTTCTAGTTCTAGTTCTTGTTCTAGTTCTAGTTCTAGTTCTAGTTCTAGTTCTAGTTCTAGTTCTATTTCTAGTTCTAGTTCTAGTTCTAGTTCTAGCTCTAGTTCTAGTTCTAGTTCTAGTTCTAGTTCTAGTTCTAGTTCTAGTTCTAGTTTCTAGTTCTAGTTTTTTAGTTCTAGTTCTAGTTCTAGTTCTAGTTCTTATTCTAGTTCAAGTTCTAGTTCTAGTTCTAGTTCTATTTCTAGTTCTAGTTCTAGTTCTAGTTCTAGTTCTAGTTCTAGTTCTAGTTCTAGTTCTAGTTCTAGTTCTAGTTCTAGTTCTAGTTCTAGTTCTAGTTCTAGTTCTAGTTCTAGTTCTAGTTCTAGTTCTAGTTCTAGTTCTAGTTCTAGTTTTAGTTCTAGTTTCTGATACATTAATCAATAAAATTCTTTTTATCTCTTTAGAGAACATTTTAAAGGCAGTGTACCCGATTTTTAGCAAAAAAAATTATTTAAAGTTTGAGATTTAATTATTGAAATTCTTTATTTTAATCCTATTAAGAGAATTTTTTTAAAACAAAATACATATAATGAATAATAAGTGGCGACATAAGATAAACAATAACAGATTTTTTTCTTTAAAAAAGAGATCATTACACTCATTCTTTTTGATGGCTCATGTTTAAACCTGCAAAACTATATTTTGTCAAGTTGATAGTACTGCATTTAAAACTATGAACTCTATCATAATAGATATAATCTAACCCGAGGGAACCTAGTTTCATATCTTTTATTGCACTGGAATCTTTTATCTCCTAGATACAAAAACACAAAAAAAACTGTGAAAACCAGCTGTCTCACGCAGTTGCACTTAAACTTCAATTTTTACATCTTAAATATTATAATTACTGTTTTAGTTTTCTTCTAAAAAATGTTTAAAGAACTCTCTACGTCAAATATATTGTCAAGTTACAATAGATGGAAACAGAAAATTCGACCAACTGCGCACAACGTCACAAGTGTCAAATGTAAAAAGAAAGACGACATGTTCTCTAATTAGTTGATATGATTTCCAAGATTCAGCGTAGGAATACGTAAAAAATATGTACAACTCAAAATTACATCTATATATAAATTTGGCCTTGTCTGTCTGTTTGTTTGTTTGTATCCAATAAACGTCAAAACGGATGAACCGATGTGGCCCAAATTTTTTGTAGAACATCACGTGACCACAGGGAA